ATTTTTTGACACCTAAGCCCCCTTTCCGTAGACCAGGTCACATATACAGTGCCGAACAGAAGTATTGGCACAGTGAATTTTTCGCAATATATGCAAAGTTCTTTATTCTAATTTATTTTGGATAATTTTTTATAAAAATATTGTTCATTCTACACCAGAAAACATAATAATAAAATCTCTAAACTTTGTGCAAAACTCAGGAAAAATCATTAAATTTGCACACTAATTTGCAACTTTTTATTCAGATTTTTTAGAAAAATTCTAAGTATGCAGTTTTATAGCCCATTTAAATTTAGTATAACAAAGTGCAAGTTTGAAGTCGCTAGAAAATCGCATTGATTTTTGGTAATTTTTTTTCACGCAAGTTCTTCCATACAAAGTAATTCGACAATTATTTTTTGTATGGAGAAAATGAGCAACACCTTCCACTAAAAAAATTGCCAAAAATCAACGCGATTTTCCTGAGTTTTGCACAAAGTTTAGAGATTTTATTATTATGTTTTCTGGTGTAGAATGAACAACATTTTTATAAAAAATTATCGAAAATAAATTAGAATAAAGAACTTTGTATATATTGCGAAAAATTCACTGTGCCAATACTTCTGTTCGGGACTGTACATATATATTCATAGGGTTCTCAGAAACGGCTCTAACGATTTTGATGAAATTTTGTACGCCGATTATGTTTTAGATTTTAAGGTTATCTGAATAGGCATTATCTTCGAGAAGACTCGTATAAGGTTGCCACCTGTTCGAAATTAGTTACAAATTAATTAAATCATCATAATATGGGTATCAAATGGAATGTATTTTAAAGATCCCTATTTCAAAAGTATTTTTAATATAGTTGCCACCTATTTTGAATCGCATATTTATTTAATTTTTTGTAAAAAAAGGTAAAATATTACTATTCATGGGTACTAAGAGAAGGTTCTTAAGCAATGCTTTCCTATATACAAAATGTTATCTCTTAGGATAATAGTGTAAGGTTGCCACTTGTGTTCGATTCTACACAATTTATCTTAAACATCGCAATATGGATATCCAATGAAAGATATTGTTGCGAGCTTTGGTCAGGAAATATTTTTCAGCAGGGTAGCCACGTTTCTATGTAATATAGCTTTTTATTTTGTTAATTTCAATCAGCATTTATTTTATGTATACACAGTACATATACGCTCAAGATATGTACCATTCATTCTAGCGTATTTCGGAATAGGGTTGCCACATAAATTTTAGAGTAAGCAATTTATTTAATAGATATCGAAATCCTATTTTTGTCTGTTAATTTCCAAAATATTTTTTAAAAGCTATCCAAATCTTGAAAAGTTTAAAAAGTATATGTACTCCGGGCAAAGCTCGGACAACTGGTACTACCAATTATATTCAACAATTTTTATTGAGCTCGAGGCCGTTTTTTAATGAAAACTTATTGTGGAAAAGCAACAATAATTTGAAAAAATGGTAGAAGTGATAGCTATTTCGGAAATCACCGCATTTCCTCATCAGATTTCTTTCAGTAGGATTCGAACCGACGACCCCACTGACTCAGCCAGTTGCCTACGCACTGTGCTAAGTTCGCCTTGTTAATTCTTGTTGCTTATTTCCACTATTTCACTTGTTAAGCCAACTACAATCAAGCGCAGCTATTCCTCTGCAATTCACTTGATCGTGTGGTTGTTGGTTTTGTTGGTTTTTGTTAATATTTCTATTATTAGAATGTATAACTTTTAGGTGTGCTCGTCCTTAAGTTATTTGTTTTTGTTATTTTATGGCCTTATGACAATTATATTCAACAATTTTTATTGAGCTCGAGGCCGTTTTTTAATGAACACTTATTGTAACAACAACCACACGATCAAGTGAATTGCAGCGAAATAGCTGCGCTTGATTGTAGTTGGTTTAACAAGTGAAATAGTGGAAATAAGCAACAAGAATTAACAAGGCGAACTTAGCACAGTGCGTAGGCAACTGGTTGAGTCAGTGGGATCGTCGGTTCGAATGCTACTGAGAGAAGTCTGATGAGGAAATGTGGTGATTTCCGAAATAGCTATCACTTCTACCATTTTTTCAAATTATTGTTCCTTTCCACTATACGTTTTCATTAAAAAACGGTCTCGAGCTCAATAAAAGTTGTTGAATGTAATTGTCATAAGGCCATAAAATAACAAAAACAAATAACTTAATAACGAGCACATCTAAAAGTTAAACATTCTAATAATAGAAATATTACCAAAAACCAACAACTACACGATCAAGTGAATTGCAGCGGAATAGCTGCGCTTGATTGTAGTTGGCTTAGCAAGTGAAATAGTGGAAATAAGCAACAAGAATTGACAAGGCGAACTTAGCACAGTGCGAAGGTAACTGGCTGAGTCAGTGGGATCGTCGTTTCGAATCCTACTGAAAGAAGTCTGATGAGGAAATGTGGTGATTTCCGAAATAGCTATCACTTCTACCATTTTTTCATTAAAAATTGTTGAATATAATTGTTAGAAGGCCATAAAATGACAAAAACAAATAACGTAAGGACGAGCACACCTAAAAGTTAAACATTCTAATAATAGAAATATTAACAAAAACCAACAACCACACGATCAAGTGAATTGCAGCGCAATAGCTGCGCTTGATTGTAGTTGGCTTAACAAGTGAAATAGTGGAAATAAGCAACAAGAATTAACAAGGCGAACTTAGCACAGTGCGTAGGCAACTAGCTGTGTCAGTGGGATCGTCTGTTCGAATCCTACTGAAAGAAGTCTGATGAGGAAATGCGGTGATTTCCGAAATAGCTATCACTTCTACCATTTTTACAAATTATTGTTGCTTTTCCACAATAAGTTTTCATTGAAAATCGGCATCGAGCTCAATAAAAATTGTTGAATATAATTGTTATAAGGCCAAAAAAATAACAAAAACAAATAACTTAAGGACGAGCACACCTAAAAGTTAAACATTCTAAAAATAGAATTATTAGCAAAAACCAACAATACCAACAACCACATGATCAAGTGAATTGCAGCGGAATAGCTGCGCTTGATTGTGTTGGCATAACAAAAATGAAAATAGTGGAAAAAAGCAAACGATAATTTACAAGGCGTACTTAGCACGGTGCAAAGGCAACTGGCTGAGTCAGTGGGATCGTCGGTTCGAATCCTACTGAAAGAAGTCTGATGAGGAAATGTGGTGATTTCCGAAATAGCTATCACTTCTACCATTTTTTCAAATTATTGTT